AGGTGGAGGTTGCAGTGAGCTGAGATCGTGCCACTGCACTCCAGCCTGAGTGACAGAATGAGATTCTCTCAAAAAAAGAAAAATCATTATTTTCATTTAAAATCATTATCACAGAGTGTCAATAATGCCTGGCATCTACACAGCCTTTAGGATTTACAAGGTGCTTCCATATAGAGGGTTTCACCTGAGGATTCACAAGTGAGGCAAACAGTATCATCAGCCTCCCTTTAGAGTTTGGAAAATGAAGCCTGGAGTGGAGAAGAGACATCTCGGAGGTTATGCAGTTGGCAAACAGGATTAGCCCAGGTCACCTGGCTCCATTTGCTATTGCTTACCTCCAAAAGTCACAACAAAACCCCAGTAGTGAATCAGAGGTGCAGGTAAAGCTGAGGATTTCCCACTGTAAGGAAGGTGTGGAGGAAGCTGTTTCCCAGCCAACTCGCTCAACTCTTTGCTGCTGCCATGAGCCTGGGGCCCAGCCTAGGGAACAGGCAGAGTTCCAGATTGCCTAATCAGATAATTCTGTCCTCATGCTCCTGTTTTGTACTTTCTTGGAGCAAGCCATTTAAACTGAGATCTCTACCACATCTGCAGAGTCAGGGCCAATGCTTTGTCAGGTAGAAACGTCAATTCTCAATTATTCCCCACTGGTCTAGACAAGAGTACTGTGAGAGTGACTAACTGGCATTCAACGCAACTTGTTTTTGTTGAGTGCCTCCTCCGAAGAGGTGTGTGGGATGTGACACTTGGGTCACGGTTGGGGGGATGAAGCTGCAGTATGGCTGAGAATTCAAATCCAACTAATATTTCTTTTTCGAACTGCTGCTCTTGAGGAAGGCATTTTCCCAGCCTGTCCTTTGCTTTCCTCCAGCCTCCATCTGCCTGGGATGCCTTTCCTCCCACAGCCCAGGCCTCTGTGGGACCTGCTTCCTTTCTCACTCCTGCAGTCCATTTCCTGTAGGGCAGCTGCCTGGATGCCCTTAAACCCAAAGGCTCACCCACCTTTCTACCTGCATCTCCTATCATAGCTACACTCACTCACTGTGCTCTGGTCACAACTGTGGTCTTTTCTTTTTCCTAAACACTTCCAGTCTTTTCCCCCTCTAACCTTTGCTCTTGTTCTTCCCTCTGGAGGTAATATTAAGGCTGGCTCCTCATCCTTCAAGTCTCTGCTCAATTCTATTTCCTCAGGAGTCCTTCCCTGACCATCTTAACCCAACTAGGCCACTCCTGTCACCCTCTCCTTACTAATAGCTATTCAATCCCATTTCCCTATGTTATCTTCTTCATGACCCTGCTCTCTCTCTCTCAGATATTTCCATTGATCCATTTACTTATTTATTATTTGCCTCCTTCCATCAACATGTAAACGCCATAAGAGCAGGGACGTTTTTTGCTACATCCACAACTGTATCCTTGGAGTCTGATAAACCCAGACACTCAAATATTTGTTAAATATTGTAGAATCTGTTGGACTCTATTTAAAACAAAGAAGTTAAAATCATGGGCCTGGGTGGTCACAGTGGCTCATGCCTCTAATACCAGCACTTTGGGAGCCCGAAGCGGGAAGATCACCTGAGGTCAGGAGTTCAAAACCATCCAGGCCAACATGGCGAAACCCCATCTCTACTAAACTTATTAAAAAAATTAGCCCAGTGTGGTGGCGCCCAAGTAGCTGTAGTCCCAGCTACTTGGGAGGCTGAGGCATGAGAATCGCTTGAACCAGGGAGGCGGAGGTCGCAATGAGCCAAGATCACGCCACTGGACTCCAGCCTGGGCGACAGAGTGAGACTCCATCTCAAACAAACAAACAAAATGAAAAGCATGGGCCTGGAAGTAAAGTGGTCTTGTGTGATCTTTCCTTCCACCAGCTGGGAGAAGCTGTGGCCTCTCTAACCTTTCTTCTCCTTTATAAAAGAATCAAGAGCTCACTCCATGGGAGTTATTATTAATTTCAGAGTTATGTTTCCCCCATGAGCTCAAGACCCTGTTGGCAGGCACTTTGTCATTAATCTCTGTATCCACTGTGCCTTGAAACATCACCTTACTGCCTCAGCATCCTCTATTTCTTATTACAGGACATGTCACAGTGTCCCAAAGAGTCTATGTATTTCTGTCTCCTCCAATATGGTGACTACCTGGGGACATGAACATCTAAGAAACCTAGCACGGTGCCCATTGTAGAATTGGATGCACAGCGATTAAGACTAGCAGGCACCTAGTATGTCTTCATGAAATGTATTTTGAACCAAGTCCTCTTTAGAAAAGACATGAATAAGTATATTAATTAGAATATGAATTTTAATACCTGAATTAGAGAATAATACCAGATAGTATATGATCATGTGCTGAGTTACACATATTCAGGTAATAAAAAGTGTAGTACAGATATTGGATGGCAAAGGTGGCCAACAGAGAGCTTCCTGGACCAGGCAAGGGACCTGGGTAGGTGAGGTATAGGGGATGGGAACTGGATCCAACTGGAGATTATATTTCACCTACAAGGTAACTACCACTTCTCTCCAGCAATTTGTTGCCATCCTGGAACATGGGTCTGATTGTCTCATATCTTTATTTTATTTTATTTAGAGATAGAGTCTTACTCTGTCGCCCAGACTGGAGTGCAGTGGCGCGATCTCGGCTCACTGCAACCTCTGCCTCCCGGGTTCAAGTGATTCTCCTGCCTCAGCCTCCCAAACAGCTGGAATTACAGGCGTGCCCCACCACGCCTGGCTACTAATTTTGTATTTTCAGTAGAGATGGGGTTCACCATGTTGGCCAGGCTGGTCTCGAACTCCTGACCTCAAGAGATCCACCCGCTTTGGCCTCCCAAAGTGCTGGGATTCCAGGCGTGAGTCACCACGCCCAGTTAAGTCCCATATCTTTATAAATTTTTCAAATGAAACTGGAAATGTGAATATTTTAATGATATCTCCCAAGTTTTCAAATTGTTGACAACAAGCTTAAATTTATTAAACAACTATTTGAGATGAACAAAGCATGTTTGAGAGTCATGTTGTAATCTCTGACCAAGTATTCTAGGTGACAAGATGGATGTTGAACCCTCAACAGGCATTAATGGAAGAATCTACACTAGAGGCCAGTTATCAAAAGGCAACATTTCTTCACTCACTCACTCACTTACTGCCCCATAAAACCAGGAAGCAATTATTGACCTATGGCCAAATTTTCCCCTAAGGCATCCATCAAGCATTTATTGAGTACCCACTCAGTTTCAGGCATTCAGATATAAATTGGATCAGGGCTTGTTCCCTCTGAGACTTTATAGTTGGTCAGTTCAAGATATGTTGTTGAGTCACTATTGTGCACCTGAGAACAGCTCATCGAGACAAAAGGAGACACACCTAGACAGCCAGGCATTGCTTCCTCACCCACCAGATCTCTGACCTAGAGTGGCGGCAGCAAACTGTCAAACTACTGTGTCCTCTCAGCTCAATTCTTCCATTCCCAGCCATCCCAGTAGCACCTAGGAACAAAGTGGCCTCCCAGATCAGACAGTAGCAGAGGTCTCCCAATCTGATGAACATGGGATGACCAGCCATAATCTCTACAAGCCTAACTCTTGTCTATAATATGGTGATCATATGATGGCAACAAATATCACTCAGATAACAGCAGCCCCCACACCATTTGCTATCAAAAGGACTGGGGTGTGGTGGACTCATTCAGTCACACGTGCCTGAGGCCAGCCAGTCGGAAATTATTGAAACAGAATCTCACAGCACACAGTCTCATGTTGATCTAACTTATACTGTGATCTCAGACTTGCTGAAGGACTAATTTCTATCACAGCCCTGCCAATATTGATTGCGTGGACTCAAAATTACATAAGTAGATTGACTTTTATTTTTTTCTCTCAAACTGGAAAGGATCACAGCAGTGCTAGTATATTCCTGTTTCCACTGGCTGGTTATACACGCTGGAAAAAATTAGTTAAAAGAAAGCAACGGAAGACAGAGTTCAGGTCTTGAATGGCATTCTTAAGTCCCCCACAGATAAGTTTGGGTGCTTGCAGTTGTGCCTAAACTTGTTTATTGTAAACAGAGCTGTCAATCTTCCACCCCCACCCGACCCATTATTTTAAAAATATAAACAACAACAACAACAAAACCACTTTGGTAGCCTACATTTAGGTAAAAGAAACGAAACCAGTGGGGAGGTGGAAGTGTCCTTTTGTGGTGGAGGTTAGTAGGCAGTACTGGTCTCCTGTCACTTCCCTAAGTCAACAGGAAGGAAATATATGCACCAGGGGCCTCTGCTAATTTGTTTCTAATTTAAGGACAATTAGGCAATTCCTACATCCCCCTAACCGCACCCCCCACCAAAAAAAAAAAAAAAAAGCAGTCAGAGCTGCACGCTTTCTCTCACCATCCAACGAACTGGTACCCCTCCGGAAATACCAGAGGTTATGAACTTTGTCCTAACTTCCAGGGACATCTAATAAATAGAGCGGTGGTCTTGGGACCCAGTCAGTGAATAAGTCTTCGTTCTGTGTTATACTGTTTCCTTTCTGTGATTTTCTTTTCTACCCCAAAGTTTCCCACTACTAACTCTGAAAATACCTTTAAGATAAAGCACTCTTCGAGCTGTCCTAGTGAAGAATCCTTTCTTGTGACCTTTAGGGCAAGAAATATGTTCCAGGAAAGAAAAGAAACGACTGTTCCTCCGTCTCCAGATACTCTGGGAAAAAAGAGGTGAAAGGGAAAAGGCGCAAACACCAAACTCTCCTTCCCTTTCTCATTTCCACACTGGCAAGTCGTGTTTGCCTTCTAACTTCTCCCGGAAAGCAAGCGGAGCTCACAGCGCCAACCCTAGCCAGCGGGTGGATTATTTACCGGGGGATTTAAACCCGCTCCGGCGCGGGGGCGTGGCCAGGCGGAGCCCCGCGGCCTGAGTGGGCGGGGCGGGGGGCGGGGATCCCGGCGGCTCGGCGCAATGTGAAAAAGACCCGAGCTCGGGGAGTGAGCGCCTGTCTCTTTAAATGCCACGGGCTGCACTCCCGCCCGGGAGCCGGGAGCCGGATCTACAATCCCGTCCCTCCCGCTCCGGTGCTTGTTGCTCGCCCGGCCCGAGCGGGAGCTGTTGCCGCCCGGCTGCGAGGCTGCAGTCTTCTCCTTCCGCGCGCCCCACCTCCCCTGAGAGCTGGCTGAGGAGGTGCAGCAGCCCCAGCTGGCGGGAGGAGGCGCGGTGTGAACAGGGATTGCCCCCCGCCTTCAAGTATCGGGGCGCTACGCAGCCGCTGGGGAAAGACATGCCCCCAGTCTACCCGCTGCGCTGCCCTCTGCCCAGCCTCGCTGCCGCCCGCGCCGGGAGAGGAGGGACTGCGGAGCCTACACCTTCAAACTCGCCCTAGAAGTCTTGGGGCGCGGCAGGGAGCCCTTCCCCAGGCCCCACGGCCTCCACCTCCCCGCGGGTGAGTTTGCGCAGGTAACCCGAGCCTGAGGGCGGGCGCGGGGGAAGGGCGGGAGAGCCGGGAGGAGGTAGCGCTGCAGGTGAGCCAGGTAGGGTGACTCACCTGCCCAGGTCGCGCTCTGAGATCCTCGCTTGTTTCTCTGGGGATGGATGCGTTGGTGGGGAGGAGGCGTCCCAGGGGCTAGTTAGGGCCCGAGGGTGGGAGGGGAAGTTAGCAGAGGAGGGGGGATTGGAGTAAAGTTTCTCTTTCCTTCCCTCTTCCTGTCCAAGCTTGGCAGGTAGGGCGCAGGCGGAAGCTGTAGAAGCTGCTGATGCAATGGGTTTTGCCAGGGCTAGGCGAAGGGCTGGGGACAGGGAGAACTGGAGTTGCCCAGTCTCCTGTGACCGTGACCTTAGAGGTGGAGAAACGAGGGAAAGCTCGCTACATCCGAAACTCCCCCTAAAATGGCTCCAGGTGCTGAGCCCCCACCGGTTCTTTTTCGGAATAAAACGCCCTTTTCACGGAGGGGCTCCTACATGGCTTTCTTGCCTTCCTCTCCCAACAGGTGGCTTCAGCCCCTGTCCGGGGACCTGTGCAAATGACCCTAGAGGTGGTTTCGCTTTCTCCCCTCGCGGCGGTGTGAACGTGTGTCCGCAGCGTGATGGGCAACCAGGTGGAGAAATTGACCCACCTAAGTTACAAGGAAGTTCCCACGGCCGACCCGACTGGCGTGGACCGGGACGACGGGCCCCGCATTGGGGTCTCCTACATTTTCTCCAATGACGATGAGGACATGGAGCCGCAGCCGCCGCCTCAGGGGCCAGATGGCGGCGGCTTGCCCGACGGTGGGGACGGGCCGCCGCCGCCCCAGCCGCAGCCCTACGATCCGCGGCTGCACGAAGTGGAATGCTCCGTGTTCTACCGGGATGAATGCATCTACCAGAAGAGCTTCGCGCCGGGCTCGGCGGTGCTGAGTACCTACACACCCGAGAACCTGCTCAACAAGTGCAAGCCGGGCGACCTGGTGGAGTTCGTGTCGCAGGCTCAATACCCGCACTGGGCGGTATATGTGGGTAACTTCCAGGTGGTGCACCTGCACCGGCTGGAGGTGATTAACAGCTTCCTGACTGACGCCAGCCAGGGCCGTCGCGGCCGCGTGGTCAACGATCTGTACCGCTACAAGCCGCTAAGCCCCAGCGCTGTAGTGCGCAACGCTCTGGCGCACGTGGGCGCCAAGGAGCGCGAGCTGAGCTGGCGCAACTCAGAGAGTTTCGCCGCCTGGTGCCGCTACGGCAAGCGCGAGTTCAAGATCGGCGGCGAACTGCGCATAGGCAAGCAGCCCTACCGGCTGCAGATTCAGCTGTCGGCGCAGCGCAGCCACACGCTAGAGTTCCAGAGTCTAGAGGACCTGATCATGGAGAAGCGACGCAACGACCAGATCGGGCGCGGGGCCGTGCTTCAGGAGCTCGCCATGCACCTGCACCCAGCGGAGCCGGAGGAGGGCGACGGCAACCTGGCGCGGACTACGCCGCCTCCCCGGCGCCCCCCTGCGCCCAGCTCCGAGGAGGAGGACGGAGAGGCGGTGGCACACTGATGGGCGAGCTGAGCGCAGAGCTGCGAAGGGGAACTGTTTGCAGTAGCAGCCGCTGCCCCCTTTCTCCCTCTCTTCCTCCCTCTTTTGCCACCGTCTGGGCCCCATCTGGGATTCCTGGGCCCTTTGGAAAAGAGTTGGTGAAATGCGCAGCCGGCTGTGGACGGGGGAGGAGGAAGGGGACAGAGGGAGCAGGTAGGAAACGCTTTAGTTGGGGGTGGGGGGCGTCTCTCTCTGGCCCCCTAAGTGTGTCTTCCTCTCCGCGGTGAGGCAAACTGTGGACTTGCCTGGCTATTAAACCTTGGTAGATCTGGGTTTATAATCGGCCATTCTTAAGCACGTGGGGTTGGGGAAAAGTTCGGAGTACCCATTACTGCCATTGCTTCCTATCCTGGGCTTGGAAGAATCCTGTTACAAAGGCCAGAGTGGGTTTGTGGAGTCGCCACCGAGGTACCAGCACGAAAGCTGCTTATCTGCTTTGGCGGAGCTGAGCTGTATGTGGGATCCAGCGGGGCTGGGGTGATTTATTTTATGGGATTCCTGGAGCGCAGGGCTGGTGAATCCATGACAGGGTCTGGGAGCAGCAGACCAAAACCACAGCAGTCTCCTATTAAGTGTAACAAATAGTTAAGCAAACTCGGGCTACAAAGACTTTGCTACCTCCCTCCTCCACAACCCCCAAGTAATTAGTCTTCTGGAGCTGGCTCTTAGCTGAGGCTCCTGCTACCTCCTGCTCCACCCGCCCCTTCCTAGGTTACAAGTAAATCATTGTCAAGGGCCAGCCAGGAGAAGATTTCAATTAAGGTTCTGTTCTGCTGCCTTTGTTTCTCCCCTGCTGTTGTAGGCACTTACAGCTGCGTTGTTATGAAAGGAGGGAATAGCCCTTTGTGTCTTTGATCTAATTAAACCTGCTCGGCTGTGTTCATCCGCAGGGCAGGCCACAGATAGGGTTGGCTGTGCCACTCCATAAAGTATCTATTGTGGAAGCAGCCAAAAAGGACTGCCCTGGCAGGAATTGGTTAATCTCTCCTTCCACTCCCTTTCCTGAATAGTGAAGGGAGCCCTTTTAAAACAAGGCTTTGGTGGTAATCCTGTAATTTTTTTTTTTTCTTCCCCCATCCCTTCACTGGCCCATCCATCTCACCCTCACTTTTGTTCTGGTGGTGGGTAAAAAATCTTAGGCTGAACACATATTTCAATGGTAAGAGACTACTTTTGCTATCCACACTTGATGCGATTTAATTCAAGGTGCAAAGTCTTGTACTGCAGCTGTCTCCTTGTTGCTTGGAGAACACCTCCTTCGGAGCCCTTTGTTAAATAAGAGGGCCAACGCTGATCATAGATGCCATCTGGTTAGTCAGCACCGAATCTGACTTTGGTGACAGTCCTAAAGCACAGTTGGTGATTGTGAGATGTTAGCGGCAGGCTGAGCAGATACTACTCGGTTTTGCTTAGTATGAGATACTACTATTTGCTTAGTATGATTTTTTTTTCCAGCCTGTCTCAAACTCTTGTGAGATCTTCAATGATACGTGCCCTGAGTTGCAGCATAGCTTCTCTGCTGCCTATTGCCATTGCTGCCTCAAAAGTTGAGTGAATTTTGAGGTGTCTTTTTTTTTTTTTCCCTCTCTCGGGAGTCATTATCAACTACTCTGTACAAGTCATTTTGTGATATGATTCTTAACAGTTGGAATAGAATCATAGTTGAGTGGTCCACAGCCATGGCTATCCTCAGGCCTGTTGCCTGGAGATCTCTAAGTTAAGGCAACAAGACTTAAAGGATTTTCTAGTATAGGTGTTTCACACATGGATGTTGAGGCCATAGTCTTTAATAGCTTGGATCTTTGTAGCACCTCAATATGAAAGGGCATTAGCTACGTTCCCTATTTTTAGAGTGATCACCAAACAGATCTTGCCACTTTGATTGTTAAAAATGAACCACATTCTAGCCCTGGTCTGGGACTGTGGAGGGAGATGAATTTCTTGTTGGAAATGTAAATCTAGTGTCCATATTTAATACTCTCACAGCTTTGTGTTCTCTTCGCTCATGGAATAGAACAAGATAAACATGGGTTAAGACATTTAGGAGAACCTGCTATATCTAACCGATTTGGATTTTCTTTCGTGCTTAACACAGTAGTGAAAATAGAAGGTAGGCCGGGGGCAGTGGCTCATGCCGGTAATCCCAGCACTTTGGGAGGCGAGGTGGGTGGATCACCTGAAGTCAGGAGTTCGAGACCAGCCTGACCAACATGGTGACACCCTGTCCCTTCCACAAATACAGAAAATTAGCTAGGCGTGCTGAGCAGGCGCCTGTAATCCCTGCTACTTGGGAGCCTGAGGCAGGAGAATTGCTTGAATCTGGGAGGCAGAGGTTGCAGTCAGCCAAGATGGCACCACTGCACTCCAGCCTGGGCAACAGAGCGAGTAGTAATGACCACTGTGTAGACAAGTGAGAGGGAAGAATAGAATGGCACTGTCCAGCTCTGGGCTAGCCAGATCATTTTTCAACTCCCCCACCCGTCTCCTTCCTCTGTCCCAGAATGGCAAGTGATGTATGGTCGGTTACACTGAAGTACAGCAGTGACTGTTATAAGCAAACTGCTCTAAGAGATCTCAGCTTGAAGGAAGAGCTACAAAATCCACATCAGTAGTAGCATATTGAAAACCTCTAGAGAAGAGGTTTTCAATAAAAGGCTTGGAAATGAACTAGAATAGGCAATAGATCTCTTCAGATGCCGCTTTCCCATGTAATGCAAGCGTTTCTACAGAATGCCAGAGGTGTGAAATATGTGACACTTAAGAACAGTGATTTTTATTGGGAATTTTCTTAGGGTTATAACACTTAAAGCAACAACCAATTAGTAACAGCCACAGGAAAGGGGAATGAATCAACTCTTGGTTCTTTCCTCAACACGGCAGTGTTGTGGATAAGTGCGTTTGTAATGCCCTGGCAATGGCTACATTTGACACTAGAAAAAAAACATATTTAATAATTTTTGTTTCTCCTTAGGAATAAGACTTTAGAACTGTTTTGTACTGTGAATTACGGATGCTCTTTGAAGGAAAGAAATATCGATTCTAATGTTCTTCAGAAGCTGGCAGGGATAAGCAGGACATCGACTGGAACGTATGCTAAATGAAAGCAGACAAATTTCTATTTTCTTACTTGAGCAAATATTTTATTGAAACGCTTCTGTATGTCAAAGGAGTCCACAACTTCAGCTACACAACTTTTTGTATTGAAAGAACTCATAGTTTTTGTAGCTTTTATTTCACATTTAATTTAAAATGACTTTTAGCACTAAAATGCCTAGAAGATTTTACTCCAGACCTATAAGGAAATGTTTAGTTTTTATGAAAAATGACAAGTCAGTGGTTAAACTTCTCATGTCTTTGGTGCTTTGGCCCTAATAGCACTGGACAACACTACGACCACATGGAAACATATTTTTGGAAGCAAAACTTTAATTTTATATAACGTATGCTATGGAGAGCTAAGAAAATTTAAGGACTACTTGTTTTCTATTTTTTTTTTCTTAATAAAATGGAATCCACTGTGTTGAAGACTTAATATCATGTGCTTGTCTAACCATTTTTTGTTTTATAAATTAGAATAAAATCTAGTTGTGATTATGGTCATCAAATGAATTTGTTTGGAAAGCTACATCTTATTTGTGAAATGTTTTTTTAAATCAGAGTAACTAGAAACTGATTCAGCTTTTCGTTAAGCTTTGTTCTTGGCTGTAATACTTGTGACTCATGAAGAATTATGTTGACAAACAGGATAAATTCTACATGCATTTTATTTCCGAGTGAGTCGTATAAACTTTATTTTTGTTGAAGGTTGTATGTTAAATCAATGTTACATTCTTATATCACTTCTTGAGAAGGAAGTTCTGATTTGAAATTGTATCATTTCCTTCAAAATGAAGGGCAGTGCTTAAATAAAAGATTGATGATATCTTTTAAGCCATTTCCTCTTCACTATGTCTTATTAAAATAAAACCTGTCAAGTTCTTTTGAAAAAGTGCTATGAGGGTTTCCAATAAACTGTCTATTAGAGTTCACTGGATTTATTTTTTTTTACTTGAATACCCCTTTTCTGACATTTTTGGTCCAAATTCAAGCTACTCAGTTTACTATAATTTCTCTGAGAATATTAGTGTGCATCACCTTTGTACTGCACAGTAAACATTTTGTTGAATTCATTTAGTGACTGAAAACCTTGCATCTACTTTGTGAAAATCACTTATTGCTAAACTATCAGTGTTCATGAAAAATGTCTTATGAACATAAATTTCCAATACATACTGATTTTTCAGAATCCATGCAAAAATTGCTGGAAGCCACACTCATGGAATCTACATAGGGGAGTCTAGTAACCCACCGGGAATCTGTGTTGCATTTTAAGTGGCTTCAGAATTCCAGATGAAGGGAACGTATTTGCCACATAATTACAGAAAATGGGTGAACACAGTTGCATGGCACTGTTGGCATGATAAGGGATGCAGGTGCCAGTGGTTGGTAAGAGGACAGATGTGGCATCAGACTGGTTCATGGGATGCCACTGCTGCACTCCCTAGGCCAGCACCTGAAGCCACCACCACAATCCTGTGATGTTCAAATGCCTGGGCTTTTAAACAGGCTCCTGTGAGAATTTTAAATAGGAAAAAAGTTGAATGAAGGTTATAGGGAGCCCAAGCAGCAATGAGGCCATTTATCCCTAAAGTGGAAGTCTGATGTATCATGGTTCTCACTGCATGAGAAAGCCAGGGAAGGGGTGCTTAACACACAATGTGCATTTATTCTTGGGTGATGTTGATGGAAGCTGTGGTTCCTATTTCTCCTAAGTGGACTGAGCTTGCTTAATGTAGGAAAATGACATGTTTGCGACTTCCGAAATGAACAGGCCCAGGATATGTGCAGAAAAGCGTTTATTTCCTTTTACTGAGTTTTCTGGGGAAACTAGTCATTAAACAAATGGCAATTTTATCTGCAGAGTAGATGCGAGAATGGCTAGTGTCTGCATTTGCAATTGCACTAAGGTACTGTCTATGAAGGGCTAGAAGATGCTGAGCCCTAGCCTAGGAGAGGTCAAAAAACAAGAACCTTGAGAAATAGTCCTGCCCTTGAGCCTATTTCTAAGGGGAAATCAATTTCACTCATAACATACAGGACAGATTGTAATAAAAGGTGGACCTGTAAAGTATGGATGGTTGATAGATACTCAAAACAGATGTGAGAAAGTTCAGAGTTTGAAAACTGGTATTGGGCATGTGGAGAAATCGGGTAGACCAAATACATGAAGATACAAATGATGAGAAAAGGACGTAACGAATATAACTAATATTCACTAAATACTTAACCTGGAGGCTCTTCAATTCCTAGTGCCTAACATAAAAAGATAAAGCTAATCCTGGCTGGATGCTGTGACTCACACTTGTAATCCCAGTACTTTGGAAGGCCTTGGCTAAGAGATTACTTGGGCCCAGGAGTTTGAGACCAGCCTGGGCAACATGGTGAGAACCCCATCTCTACAAAAAATAAACAAAATTAGCCAGGTGTGGTGGCACATGCCTGTGATCCCAGCACTCAGGAGGCTGAGGTGGGAGCATCGCTTGAGCCCAGGAGGTCGAGGATGCAATGAGCCAAGATCATGCCAATGGCACTCCAGCCTGGGCAGGTGACAGGGTGAGATCCTGACTCAAAAAATAAACATAGAAAAACAGTGAGATCCTGACTCAAAAAATAAAAATAGAAAAATAAAGATAAACCAAGTCCATAGTTACTATCATCATGTAACTTTCATTTTAATTAAGACAGATAACTACTTACCAAAATTGTGATAGGTGAAATGAAGGAAATGTACAGAGTATATAGGAGAATCTCTCCCCATCAATGAGTCAAAAAAGGCTTCCCTGAGGAAATATTTTTGCTGCACCCCAGAAGTGGAGGAGGGAGCGAGGGGCTTCAGAATGGGTACTGATTAAGGGAGGAAGGCTGGAGAGTGAATGAATGGACCTCAGGTGCTCTCAAAATGCCTTTGTTTGTACTCCTGATACACACCCATTTCTCCTTGGGGCTCTCTTTTACAACAAGTTGTCCAACTCGTTCATGTATCTCCAACGCTTAACACAGGACCAAGCGAAGAAACCCCCACTAAAAAAAGTTTAAGTGAGTAAATGAACTTTCAGTTTGGACTTCGCCAGACTAAAAAGCCCCTAGATTATCTCAACATGATGTTGTGACTGGTTTGAAAAGAATGAATGTAATAGCGTTTTTTAGGGTGCATTAAACAGGGAGAGCAAGAAGTGACTGTCTTCCCTTCCTCTTAGAAGGCAACCTCTAGAACAGAAGGCAACTAGAGGTTGTTCTGGGTGGAAGGGTGCTAAGGATGACTTGTATTTCCAGCCAGGTTATGGAGTGGATTGTGAAGTTGGGCCTTTGCCTGGGTGCAAATCAACAGACAAGTGGCATTGGCCAGGCTGGATGGAAGAGCAGTGCTAAAATGGAGTAGGAGGTTTTATAACCTGGCTGCCACGGCCTTGGAATTGTGATTGAGGAAGAGGTTCTTTTGTTCAGTTAGCAAGCCATTGGCATAATATAGTACCTAGTGTCTTGTCCAGTGTGACCATAAATGACTCAAAAGATGAGCACTCTGATACTTTCTTTGGAAAGCTTGTATAATGCAGTGAACTCCAAGAATCTAGTTGGGTTGATATTCCGTGCATTCTTTTTAAACACATTACTTTGGAGAATTCTCAGTGACAATGCTAAACTGCAGATAGAGAGTCTGACCTGGGCACACCATATTGAACAGTGGTTAAGGCTTTACAATCAAATGACCTGGTTTCTCTCCTCCAGCCTTTGCTTATTATTAGGCCAGTAACCTTGGCAGAAGTTACTTACTTTCTTGGAACCCACTTCCTCTTACGAGTTAATGGCATCCACCAATTCACTCTCTTAAACTTTAGTTGCATTAGTAAAGTAATATGACTAATATGTAATATGTAATAATATAA